CTAAGAGGGAGATGATCGAAAGTCTCCAAGTCGGTTGCGCGTTTATGCCTGAAAGTCTAGTAGGTAGAGCCATGCAAAGCCTTTTGGGATATTGACCACTCCACCCCGAAGGGTCCAAGGTGGATCAAGTGATGCCACGTCGGCCGACCCTGAAGTCCACCGTGAGTGGTGCTCGTCCTGCCGCGTCGAACGCCACGTCTGATGCAAAGCTGTGGCGTACGGACTCGTTGCCCATCGAGTCTGTCGGATCTTCAGGTGACCCAGTTTCGCCAGACTTGCACTCCATCTTTCACAGCAGTTGACATGCGTGCCCACTTCAATACATGGGAGATCTCCTCCATTCGTTGTAGCGCGTCGGCATGTGTCCAAACCGTCAAAAGGCCAACGTTCTCGTCAAAGATTAGCTCTCGAAGCTTTCTGTTGAACTTATCCTTGTCGGGAATCTTCGCAAGGATTGCATCAACATCTTCTGGACGACTCGCGGTCAGATCTTGCACTTTGAGGCCTTCTAGACCTGGGTTTTAGCAGCTTGAGGGCTGAAAGCCCCTAAAGCATAATGTCTGACAATGTGATATCATATATATCGTGTATATATATATATGTGTGTGTGTGTGTGTTTTAATAAGATACTGTAAGATCAAAATAGATCAAATAATTGAGGGACACCGCGCCTCCGATAGATACCTCCTTTTACAACATGCTTAAACGACAAGCAAACACTTTGAAGACCCAAGAGGCTGTGCTGTCTGCGGAGCAAAGTAGCTTTGTTCCGGACTAGAAGGCTCTGCGCCATACCCATTCGCTGAGCTTCTGCCAGCTCCGCCATACACCAAGCCCTGTTGAAAAGTTCCAAAGATGTATCAACAACTACCACCTCAGCAAAAGAGGGATCTCTGCATGCGAGGAAGGACATCATATCATCAAACTTGTTCATCTCACAAGGGATGCTCTCACCATGCTCATTCAAAGGTGGCGTCGTGTTGAAGCATTTGGGCATCTTGCATGAACACACTGGATGAGGGAGCATTGTCACTGGATCAACCTCTCCACAGGTGGTCGCCCCACAAATTCCAGCGTGCTGATTCACTGCAAAGGCACAAATCCAATATGCATCGTCTAGGCATTCTTGTACCTCGAGCACTTGCTCCAGCGCATTAATGCCAGAAGTCTCCGACAACAAGCTGGAGACAAGCTCACAGGTGTGCTCTCCAAGGGCATCTGCGATGACACTCGCCAGCAGGTCTTGGAAAAGGTTGGACCAATTGTGGGTCACCATCTTTCCGGGCATCAAACTTTCACCTTCGTTCACCACTAGTTGGGCATACGAAGAGCATGCTGTTGAAGTCAATGGGATAATTGCCAGTCTTACCACATCATTGGTAGTATGCACATCCGGCTGGTACGACAACATGACATCCTTGCCCAGCCTCCGGTAGAAGGACAGAAGCTTCTGCACAGATATTCCACGACCGGCCAACTCCTGAGTCTTGGCCTCCCATTCACTTCCTCCGATGGCTCGTGTCCGCGTGATGGGGTGACTGAAGCTCCAGCACGTGTAGCTACATCTTTTTGGCTTGGTTGCTGCTGGCGAAGGTTGCCCGCACAGGCGGTAGGCCCCCGAAAGCAAAATGACCCCAACTGCATTCACCAGCAGGTTCAAACAATGTCCGGCGATGACTGCTGGCGAACCTCGGTCCGGCTGCTGGATCCATAAGTCACAAGTAATCACAAAGACGATGGTCGTGGTCAGGCTGCCCACCAAGCCCAAGCCTTGCAGCAAAGCAGCTCTCCGGCCACTCCGCAAAGCCTGGGAAAACGACCAGCAGCCTTCACTCTGTGACATGCTCAGTGATGTCTGGAGGAGTGAAAATGTCTGGCACAAGGTGGCACCAACAAGGACCACCCACATGAGGAAGCACAACAGAATCGGCACGATCGCACACACGAATGCTGTGCTGCCCAGTGCCGCCACCGGCCAAAAGCCCGTGAAAGAAACGAGTAGGCCCAGTGCCACACCAGCAAGTTCCGCCTGAAGCATGCGCCTCAGCCACACGCCCTGTCTCGGGCGATTCAGGGCTGGCCAAATGCTTCGGAGACTGTCTTGAATCAGTCCTTGAAGGAAAATGAGTTCACACAGTTGTAGCAGGATTCGGAACATCTCAAAAACCAATGCGTCGCCGGCCTGGAACTTCCAATGCGTCATTCTCCAAGGTTCAGGGCATAGAATGTGACTCTTATCCCTCATCAAATAAATGATGAAGCTGAGAAAACCAAGGCCCTCTACCCAATTGAGGACCAGAAAGTGGGATGCATGAATCAGGTGCAAGGTGGTGGCTTTGCACCACAGCCACATGGCTCCACAACCCGCTAGGGCGGTAGAAGCAATCACTGCATAAAAGGCAATGCCATACACTTCCATGGCTATTTTGAGTTGACAGGTTCCATTACAGTAACTGTCCGCTCCAAAGTGGCACGTGCCAAGGAAGGCTGCAGCCCAGCTACACAGAAGCAGGAGGACAATGGTACACGTGCTCCTGCAACATCTGACCACCTGCCGATGCATGCTATGCCCAAGCTGCTTGGACCTTCCTTCGCAACACCTGGCCTCCTCCGCCTCACTTCGCTCACTCGACTGACTCGACTCGCCCGACGCGGACGTGGACGCGGACGAGGCCCTCTCATCGTCGCTCATCGCGAAGGCCGGTGGGACCGGCTCGAGCCGGCAAGCTCTTGTGGGCCACCGGGTACGGTCACAAGCTAAGCTGTGGTGGGCCAATCTCAACGCACCCTTCTGTGTACCCTGGGCACCAACACACACAGATATATATATAATATACATCGCTTAAATACTATATAGGTTGAACCTGCAAGCCTCATCAAATATAATATGACTCGACTGTATATTCAATAGTAGCCCCTATTTGGGCAAGTACAGGTAGATAGTTACTCAACATGCAAGCGCTACGTTTAGAGCAGGTAAATCATCACCTGCTAGGAACATCCCTCCATCGCCCCC